ATACTGAGCATCTTTCTCTTTGACACCATGTCTGATATCCCACGTGATCTGTCAAATACTAATGCATGAAAATCCTAACCTCAAAAAAATCACCCGATATTAGAATATATACAGACTAAACGCTTCATGGCTATGGCAGTAGTATTTGAACTTTCGCTGACTTAATTATGTACATATAATTTATTTATTTGTCAGATTATTAATKAATGTTGCCGTTATTCTACATTTTTTTTTCCTTTTTTATTTGTAGCTATGTTATGTGTGCAATTTGTTTTTAACCAAAATATTAAATTATTAATAATTGATATATATTATATAATAATAGAATCGTAAAAAGTAAAAAAAAATATATAAAGGTATTTAGAATAAATAAAACTACGTAGATATTTTTATAAGAAATACACTTAAATTTTTAAAATTTCGTTCTTTGTATGTATTTAAGGGGATGGTAGGTTATCAGACTGCATTCTTCTATATGAAAAATTTCTACAGAATGGGTCGGGCATTCAGAAATTGCTCAAATTTATTTTAACTTTTACTTTTTTCAGTAAGAGAGAAAAGACTAGTTAGTATCGGTGTAAAAAACAGCACTAAAATTACATCGTCTCACTATACAGACCTTTCGTAAGTCGATTTAAATAGTAAGGAACCATTACATTTTAAGCTATAAAGTAAACCCTCGGTTTTAGATTATTCTAAAATGTAAATTAATCGTTTGGAAAAGTTTAGAAAAAAATAAAAGGCTGCGAAAAAGGGTATAGAATGCGCCCCAACTAAACCAAAGATGACCTTAATGTGAGGAAAATAGCGCAGAGCAGATAAATGGAGCAATTTATTTATTATCTTTCGAAAAAAAAACTATAGATCTACAAGCTCTTGATGTCATTTAAATATTTTTATTTTTTTATTTTAATCTGGTTTGCTCAGAAAAAAAGCTGTAAGTATTTTTGGGTGGGAAAATCTCAATCAAACGAACACATTGATAGCCGATCAATTTGCAAGTGTTCGAGGAAAAAATTTTGTGGCGAGCTAAGCTTTCGTCAATAACAATTTATAAACTTTTTAGAACGTTTGGCAGCTAAAACATTCAGTTAGTGATATCATGAGAGCGTTATGTCAACCCTTCACTTTTGATAATAACAATACGGCATTCAAAGTATTTTATGTGGTAACTAGTAAAGACAGCTGAGAGACAGATCTGTCATAAAACCTGAAACATTTCGATATATTATATTATTCATATTTGCATTGATAGAGGGATTACAGGGCTTAGATATATACAAAAGCTATCATATATTTTATGCAAAGATTGATGTCAAATTTAAAAGATTAGTCAAATATTTCAAAATTTTTATTTAAAATCGCGTTTATACCTATGAGTGCTTCAGTTAATTTAATTAAAGTAAAAAATGTTTTAGAAAGTACAAAAATTTAAATAAATTTCATTAAATATTTATCGAGTAATCTGAAATTATTTAAAACCATATGATCAAGTGTATGTTGGGTATTCAGTTGCAGGAGTATGCGCAAGCCAAAAAAGGGAATCGCTTAAATTACATTCCAAGCATGCAAATAAAAAACAAAAAATAAAAAACTAAAACGAAACAAATTTCATAGGAAATGTTAGAATGTTTTCAAAGGTGGATAGGACATACCTAGAAACTAAGTTGAGCGATTCAATGCCAAACCACTAAAACGATCGGTGAAATGTCTACTGAACGAGTGTGAACTCTACGGTAATTTTGCACATTTTAACTATATTTTCCATTACAAGTTTACATTACGAATTTATTGTTGCGGATTACATTTTTTGGTACTTTTTTTTTTTTGGAATTAAGGTTTATTTAATGACTTTATTATTGTTATTGTTTATGCATATGTTCGATATAGTTAAGTTGTTTTATATTTTAGAGTATTTGAGTGCTTGTTGTGTAGTGTGTATATACATGTCGTGTATGCTATACGCTCGTATATAAGTAGGTATATATGTATGTATATATAGAATATAGAGTATCCCATAAGTGATGTTGCTTAATTGGTTTTTTCTGTTTCTACTTGCAGCTCGAGCGTAGAGAACGAGTACTAAATATGTGGACACAAGCAATAACGAAGCATTTGAAAGAGGTTATATAAGTAAGTTATTAAGTACAAATAATGTTTAGAGTGAGAATATTGAAATAAGTCAAGTGAAATGTTCAAGTATAGAGTTTGCAGTTTCAACAATTGCAATTGCTAATTTACTATTAATTTTTAATTTTGAGCTGCATTGTGCCGACGCCTAAGCTACAAAAACAATACAGTGTATGAGTAGTTCTTGAGTTGCGTATATTCGTTTGCAATTTCAAAACCAATTATGAGTCCAATTTTGTAAAATAATTGTCATTGCTGATGATTTGTTTGAAATTTGAAACAGTTTTAAGCAGAAATTTTGGAAAATAGATCAACTGCTTTGTATAAGCCAATTTTTCTAGTTGAGTTTTTTTTGTATATTTTTGTTATATTTGCTAGAAAACTTGTGTGCTCTATAGTTTGAGTGAGTCAAGTGATGCAATTGATGAGCGCCTAGATAGACCTAAATTAGTGGGACAACTGACCAGTGAGGTTGTTCCAAAGAGTTTGTACCAGCCGATGACGATGTTCGATAAGTTTAAATCGTCGAGCATTATCTGTGCCACGCCCATGAAAACTTTCTTCTCGATGCGGCCATAGTCACCCCAAACGGTCACCTTGAAGAAAGAGAAAAAACCGGGATTGAGTAAAAATTGAAGCTGCCAAATATGTGCGCCTTCTTTCATCAACTGTATCTGATCTAATGGTTACATAGATTTAGTTACTGTTACATAATTTGCGCTTTGTTTGAAAGGTCACTTTCGGCACCTTCATCCGCTTGTTGTACACATTTTTAGTATTTGTATTCGATGAAACGAAATGTGCTTTAGAAATTACATGGGTATACAGGTTCAAAAAAATTTATTTTTTTTATTGTCTTATTAAATTCTACAACACCTAGGGAATATTGTCCTAAATTTTAAAGTTGACTCGAGTAATAGTTTCGGAAATACAGAAAATAGACGAAAAAGGGGTGCTTGAGTATTAGATGTAAAACGGGAAACACCTTGAGTACTTGTGAACTTGTGTCCCACTTTTATTGTCACTCAAATCGTTAAACGCATTTTTTCGTTGTTCCAAGTTCTAGGTTAAGCTTTGTATGAGAAAAAATTTGTTTAAAAAAGGCTTTTTTTTACCTGAATAAACCCATGTAACCCCTTAAGTTATTTTAAACGAGCATCCAGTTTTTACTCAAAACCCGCTTAAACAATTTTTTTTTGCACAGAAAAACAGAGCGTACGTTACCTAAAACTATTTTAGTTTACTTTGACCTGTAAAATGTAAAATTACCTGCAGAATGCATCCCTGGTATGGCTGCTTGAATACCAATTGTTGTTGATAGAGCGGATCCAATGTGCGCCTTGCCGTCGAAGTTTTCATCTTGTCAATGCAACGTTTGCCAGAAACCAAGTATACTTTAACATAAGGAGCGGGAAGCATTTTCGACGTTGGCTTTTGCTGCGCAATACAAAAAATTTCTCAATTTGAAATGTTTTTTTAATAAAATGGTTTTTTGTATATACACCTGTAAGCCTCTAGCACGTATAACTTCTACTTCTAAGAAACCCTTTTGATGGCACATTGATAACTGTATATCACCCAGCGATGGTGCGCCCAACACTTGCCGCCCAACCAGTTGACCGGGCCCCAAACCGTCTATGAACTCCGACAGCTGACCATCGTTGCCACGCAGCGATGGTGAAAATCTGTACATTTCGCAATTTTAGCGACGTTTTTAGATTTTTTATTTTAATATTTTTTTTTTTTAATATGTTTTTTCAAGCATATGTTGGAAGAGAGAAAATTGATATTTGTAGTCTATTTTGCTAATTAATTTTTGCAAAGTGTGTGTGTATTTAAATACATACATATAAATACACAAATAAATATTGCATCAAATACAATAAAATAGAGAATTGAGAAATTTTCAAAACAAAAAAATATTCATATATTTTAAATAACATTTGAAGAGCAAGTATACAATATAAATTTTACAAGTTCCAGTTATACACAGGGAGATATAGAGAAACATTTGTGAGTATACGAGTATTTGTAAGTTTATTCTGGTTGTGGCATACAATATTTTGGTGATGTAGATGGTGAGTGGTGGTGGTGCTGAATATTTTTAAAAATTTCATTGGAATTTGCACAAAACTATAAAAGAACTTTGTTCCACAGCATGCATTTTTAGAATCTTAAGTCAGTTCGGAATAACTCGCTTATAAATTTGCATAGTCAAGTGCCTTAGGTGCTCAAAAAATTGCTTTATTTGGTGGTAGAAAAAATTTAGATATATATATTGGAAATATAGGGAAAAATTTAGAATGCATGCTTAGTAATAAATATTATTTCTAGATGTAATATTTATATTTATAAAATATATATATATATATATATTTATTTTAGGAAATTAGCTTCAAATGTTTTTTTACAACAAAAATGAAGCAGTTGAGATATTGTGCAATAATATTTTATTTTTTATTTTTTAATAGAACATACTGTTATATTCATTTATTAGAGTTCAAAAAATTAAATGCAGTAGTTAAGAAGTAATAAAATAATGCTAATAAAAATCTTTCTCAAAGAGCTTTTGCTCTTTTGCCTTCTTCGATTCAGCTTTTATATCCTCAATTGAGTCAAAACGGTGTTCTCAGCGTGGTCATGTGAATTTGCTGAATAGCCAGAAGTTACACGAATGCAAATTGTAGTTGCTTCACGATATTAATTGAATATGTGGCGAAATGATCACGAATAAAACCAGTGCAGTATGAGATGGTGCATTATCGCACTTCCTTATTCAATATCAATCCTAATAAATTCAGACATAGAAAAATCGATCGAAATCACGAAACGACGCATATCTCAAATACTAATAAATATTTTGACGTGACATTTAGCATAGATGTCACTTACAGTACTACCAACTTACAGAAAATTTTACCGATTCGAAAAACACGTGAAGTATAAATAAGAAATTCACCTTCCAATTTCTTCACAGAATGGAATCATGCAAATGATAGATCGTACTACAAAAATGGTATCGAAAGGTTGGAAGATTCCTATGCTGTAATTAGTGGATCACTTTTGAAGGAAATAAAAAAGCAATTTTGTTCAAAAAATGTGTTTTACAATGGTAGGCCGGAGACTTTTCAATTCAGTTGTTATTGCTGTTGCAGTGCTTAATGCCCTGAATGGACATTGAAAAAATCTTGAATTCAGCAAAAATTTATGTCCAATTTCAACTCTTAAGTAATGTCTTCAGTCCACACCGTTTTTACAATTGAAGTCGGTGTCAACGTTATGGACAAGTGTGAGTGCTACAGATAAATGCTATTAACAATCATCTTGTTCCATTGCAATGGTCATTGGTTCCTAACTAGTGGTGAGTATATAGGCTATATTAAATTGATGGTATTTAAAAGATGCATAACTGGTTTTCTTATATCAGAAATTCTCTTTAAATACTTATAAAAATTGTTTGCGATATGAATCACATTAACGTCATTTACCAACTCTGGTATTCTAGGGCACATGTAAGAATTGAGTACTTTACTTAAAAAGTTGCAAAATTATTCAATTATTTTTAAATATTTTCGAAATACAAATTTTCCTTACAGCATTCATTATTGGAGCTCGCGGCGAATAAAATATAGCATAGCTGAGAGTGTACACGAAGACCGTGGATGATCAAATCCATTCGCAGTAACTCGGACTGCCTTATGGAACCAAAGCGTCGAGACCTTAAATTGAAAGCGTACAAGTTACACCTTTTGCAAGAACTTAAACCGCTCCACCTTCCCAACGGGCATCTATGGACTCTTGAAAAGTTCCAAGAAGATCAGACGTTTTCAAGCCAAATTTTGTTCAGCAAGGAGGCCCATTTCTTGTTGCATAGGTATATTAACAAGCAAAATTTAGATATTTGGGAAGAAGAACAACATGAAGAGGTTCAAAATCTGCCATTTCATCCCGAAAAAGGGGATATACTTCTTCAAAAATGTTGCCGGTGAGAAAGTAATCGTCAATGGAGACCGTTATCGGGATATGATAAACAAATATTTGATGCCTGAAATTGAAGCCCGTGATTTGGTTTCAACAAGACAGCGCCACTTCCCACACATCGTACCAATCAACGCATTTACTAAGAGAACACTTGGGTGATCGGATAATTTCGCGTTTAAAACCGATTGGCCACCAAGAAGGTGTACTTTTTCTGTGGGGTTATGTAAGGTCTTAAATCTATGCAGACAATCCCGCTTCCATTCAGGCTTTGGAACAATGCATCACGCGTGCCATTCGCCAGTTACCAGTCTAAATGCTTGAACAAGTCATCGTAAATTGTACTCAAAGCATCCTTCTGAACCATCTGAAACATAGCCGCGGCCAACAATTGAAAGCAATAATTTTAAAAAAATAAATGCCAAAATATGTTCTTTCGAATGAAAATAAACATTTCCCATTAAATTTAAAATTTCTGTAATTTTTCTTTAAAAAAGAAGGGAATCTCGATATGCTTCACTTTTTACATACATTGGTTAACGGTCAGATCTGAAAATTCGATATAGGAATAATGTGACAAAGCCAACTCTCAAGTTTTACACTTTACAATTCCTTTTCAGAAATAGATATTAACAAACATAGGACTTTGAACTATAGCTATCACATCTTCTGTACCTTTATAAGAATAAGAATTATAAGAATGAAATAACAGCATTTTTGGATTGTAAAAATTATTTTGACGATGATGGGATTCCATTCATCCTTTAATGCAGGGTCTTTCAACAAAACCGATGTATTGCTAAAATCAAATAAAAAACTTAAATCTGGTCAAGTTCAGTGTTCTATAAGTTTCATACAGATTTTAAAGTTAGTTGTCGAAAATTTACTTTAAAATACCGAAGACTAATACCGAAGACTTTAAAATACCGAAGGTAAAATTGAGCAGAAGATATTAATTGCATGAATTATTTCTTGTCTCTTGAATATTATAATACTAATTATACTAGGTTAACTTATATAGTCGAATTAGGCTGATAAACTCAAAAAATGAAATATATCAGTGATAAATAAATACATGAGACATATTTGAACTTATTCCATAAAAAGTTAACTACGTTTTCAACCCATAAAAACTTTTTGCATATGTAGGAAAAAATGTAAAAATATACATGCAAAATATTATTATTATGCATAAATATTACGAAAAACTGAAAGTCCACACATCTATATTTGTATACATATATTATATATATAAATGCGTAAGAAATTGTCACAAATCTCTTTTTACAGTTATATAAATGATAACACAAAAGTTAATAAATTAATAAACACAGAAATATATAAATGCAATTTTTGTAGATTAAATAAAAAAAAAAAAATTGAAATAGAAATAATTTCACCGCAAACATAGGAAACAAATATCACTTTAAATTACACAAAAGCACAGAGAGAGTTTAGAAAAATATTTGAAACACAACGAATATAGAATCGCAATTCAATTTCGTGCTGATTGCCGCTGCACGTTGCGACCACGAAGTAGGAGACAGAGCGAAAAGTAAAAAAGTGAAGAAGCGAGAAGCGAGAAGCTGAGCAGTTGAACAAAAATGGGGCACAGATGAGTCAGTAGGAGGCGATAGTTAGACGTAAGCGAAAGTAGAGAATGTGGGAGGAAATAAAAAACAAACATGAACGATAAAAGAGCGACTGACAGCGAGGAAAGATGAAGTGGTTCGCAGTCAGGCAGCAGCAAAGGCAAAGCTCACTTTCACTTATATTTATTACATGATTTTGTTCTTGTTGTTTTGTTTTTTACAAGCACACCCAACTCTTTGACACATATGAATACGACATTTATAATTGTGTAGCAATCATTCAAGTATATTTATATGCCAAAACTTATGCGCCTAAAAGTATGCTTTGTTTTACAAATTTAAATGAAATTTATTTTTTTACACTTTGAGCATAATTTTATTGTTTTGCAGCTTGAAAGCGTTGTTATTTTAATCATGCGCCTAAAAGTATGCTTAAAATGGTTAAAAAAATATGAATGTAGAAAGAGATTAACTCTTTTCATTGCCCTTCTAGCTTTATTTTAATATATTTTTAGCTTTGAACTCCTTAGCAGATTGGAAGGTATTAAAAATGTGGACCGAAAAGTAAATTTAGGTTATTTTTCAAGTATTTTTTGCAACTATTGTATGTTAATTTTAGTTTGAAATTCTTTATGGTGAAATCGTTAAGAAAATTGTCTTTAAGGTTATTATGTTCCTAAATATTTGGTCCGCGCCAAAAATGTGTAATTAAGTTTTTTAAAATTATACGCCAAAAACTATGCTTAGTTTTTACATATAAATTGTAATGTAATTGTAGGAATGGATACTTTCTCAACATTTCACTCAAAGAGTGGGGTGTACTCATGCGGTAATCAGTTAAATGTATATACAGCGAGATGCAACTACACGAAAGAAATTTTACTAATAAAATTTCGATATGTTTTATTATAATTTTATTTTTTTTTTGTATATCTATATCGATTGCGTGCGCACCACGCAGTAGACGATGCACTTACGATGAGCCCTCAGAGCTGGATATGGAATGTATGCTTCCGGTGCGGTATTGCGTGGCCGATGCTGCGGGCGGCACCTCCACAGAGCGTTGTATGCTGCCGGCAGAACCGCGCGATTGGCGAAGATGATGATGATGATGAGATGCATTGGAAGCAGCAGCTGCATTATATGAAGCCGTATATTGGTCTGCATTAACGGGATTGGTAGGAAGACATTGAATGATTAACACTGATTAGACWAGTATGATGGTACTATAATGCAAAATTATGGTAAATGCCGTTTAAGCTAAGCTGCCTCAAATTTCTCATGTTGTTGTAGTGGTAGCACGCCTTTGCTTTATAGTTTACTTTAAATTTACTTTACAATTCGAATATTTCGTTAACACTGCGTATGATTGTTGTTATTTATATTCTTAGTAAATGTGTATGTACATACAAGAAACGCAGGCACTATATATGTAAGTACAGCCGTGATGCAAATGGGCTTCCAAAATACACAAGCAAGCCCCTGTGCAGGATCACTGCGATCACACAAGTATATATGCATACATTTAGGCGCCAACGTATTTATATCTTTGTACACACACTGCCATTTCGGACATGTATTCGACAGAGAGGGAGACCAACAAAATTTACAAAAGTAAAAAAAAAAAAATACAAAAACGTAATGAAAATCGTATTGAAAATACAAAACGAAAATGTCATTACGAACATTTGAGTACTTCAAAGGAAAAATTATAAAACAAGTGGACAGAGAACAGCGCAAATTAAAGCATGAAAAGCAGTTTGAAATAAATGAGAAATGTTTACACTTGCATTCTAAGAAAATATTTGTTATACATATGCTTTAGGAAAAAAAAATTCTTTTTTTTTTTTTGATTATTGAAATTTTTCATTGTCAATAAATAGTTGATAACATTTCAATTCTTAGTACAAGGATTATAAAATCGCAGAGTAAAAATATTGAATACATACTTCAGCCATATGCAAAGAACAACCTGAAAATTAATTATATTTTTAAAACTCTTCATTCGGCGTAACCTTAGCGTACACAAGCCAATAATTCTCAATTATCATCATTTTACTACTTTGGTCGACCAATCTTTGGCAATTCTCTACAATATGCCGGTGTAAAATTTTGCCTCTAAGGTCACACCTACATACATATACATATGCATSAGTGTGTTGGTAGTGTACGAGTGAGTGAGTGAAGTGGATTGGAGTGTAAGCGAGTACGAGATGAGCGCCCTTCTATGTCTCCCTGCATATAAGTATATGGTATACTATAGTTAACTTTGATTACGCAATATTGTGTAGTATACTTGATAGGAACAATAGAAAATATAATAAATTGGCAATAGTAATAGATGATAAACATTAGAATTCTCAGTAATTCTTCAAAGCATGCAACAAAAGGAATTCTCGGTAGTGTTCGATAAGCCTAGATCCCAAGGAACCTAAAGAAAGCGCATACAATGAAAATATTAAAGGCAGCAACGATCCAGCAGAGTAGTCGTCTTCAAAAATTGAAAAATATTTTGTGTTATAAATAATATTCCGTTGGAATTTATAAATTTGAGTTGCGTTATAACTAAATCTTTCACATATTTTTTACGGTTGAAGCTCATTTCCGATTTTACAATAGTTTTAAAGTTTCCAAATGTTGAAATATCTCACATATAGCTCAAATGTCCTCACTTTTTCTGTTTTTATTTGAAAACATAAATTTTTTTTAAACTATTTTCTTTGCTTTTTTTAACTTAATTATGAGCAGTCCTGCTTAAGAGCTTAGTAAGCGCTAAAATAACGTGAGTAACCATTAAGTAGGTTATCACTGACCCAAACCAGCGAATCGCGTACTTACGACTGGTTAGTGCGATGTTCATTTTGCGTGGCACTTCATGAAGTTAAGCTCACGCTCAGATCTGGCTAATTCTTTCAATTGTCATTTTAAGTATTAGTTCAGAAAACAAACTTGTACATTTTAACTAGTCAGAAGAACTCAAATTATAAAACTTTTAAAGCAATGGGGAGCTCAAGAGAGTAGTTTTCTATAATACTTGATTACCGGAAAATGTTTGTCGGAGAAAATTTATAAAATTTGCTACAATTAGTGTGAGTAGGTTTCAAGTTTTCTTTTTACATTATTTAAAAGTTGACAAATTTATTAGAAATCTCTATTTCATTTTCTTATTATTTGCGAGCATTTTGGGCTAATAAGCACACACTGCAAATTTTTGGAATGCACTCTTAGTGCTCCATACTGTAAAGAAAAAAATACGCCGATAGAATATACGTCTACGCATTTTTCAAGCGAGAGATATTTGCTCTCTATTATGTGAGTATTCATCATACTTAATAATCGCATAACAGGAATCAAATCTTATGTGAGGTTCTAGGGATTCGTTGCTGAGTATGCGTTAAATATAAATTTTGAGATTATGAGAATTTCGTGGAGGCAAAACCTTAAATTTCAGCTTCTTTGAATCGCGCTACTTGACTGGATTGTGATAGCTTTAAAGTGCAAAATTTGCACCTAAATAAATATATAGTATATATTGGTATATTAGTATATCTTAAAACTAAAGTTAATAGAAAGATGTCAAAATGTAATAAAATTTGCAGAGTATTTCGAAAATATTCTTAAATTTTACGTTATCTTGCATCATCATTCATCGTTTAGTACCATTGGTAGTAGTTCTTAATTATTAGTCTTTTCATACTTTATTCACAATCCGTTGTAAGTAGAAAGTTAACGCTTAAAGCGAGCTTACCGTGTTCTTTATAAATCATCTACCTCCTTCGAATTCATAGCCTGAAAGTTTTTTCTATTTGCGTTTTAAGGTTAGGTTTTCTTATAAAGCGTTTAAAAGCATGCAAACTCTTCAACTAATTTAATGCGGTCTTAATCTTAATACATATTAATTATAAGTTGTTATTGTTAAGTGAGAAAAATATTATTAACTCATGTAGTTTGTCGAAAAAGAAAGCAAGGCCGTTCTAGAAAGAAATGCATGTGATGCAGCAATGGCGAAATGGCACGCTTCACAAATAAACTATGAACTTGAACTACTAGCTACAGCATTTTACTAATGAAATGAAAACAATTTTTTTTTTTTTGAATGCTTTAATATTAAACTTTTAATGCTTTTCTAATGAATTGAAAATGAGCAAATCGTATGCAGCTTAATGCAGGGCATAATCACATAATGAAAGCTTAATTAACAGAATGAAGCGCAAGTTGTTGTAAGAGCTGCGCTTCAAATGCGAAAGCTTTTCAAAAACATAATGTTTTACATTTTGCGAATTTGGCAAAGCAAAAGCTTGAAAAGCTTTCGCTTTGAAACGCATACAATATTTGTTTGCCATTTTATTTGAATAGCAGAAAGAGCCTAAAAATACGTATCGACTTTGGACGTTAAATAATATGGAACTTAAATTATTAATTTAAATTGCAAGAGTTGGGTAAGGAGGCTCGTTTTGCGTAGAGCTTTCATTTGTTTTATGAATTAAAAAGAGCTTTCATTAGCATGTGCTGCGTACGCGCGTTTACTTCGTCGGTTTCGCTTTTTAATGTTTGGTTTGCGACGCTAGCTGTTGTTTAAACGCGGCATGCCAAGCTTTTGAGGGAGTTAATAAGCTTTTGGTGTACATATAGACATACATACATGTATTGTTGTTTATTTACAGTAGAAGTGTGGTGAAATGTGAACTTATTGAGGCTCCAACACTGTTCGTTAAAATCAAGCTTTCGGGAGTTAAAGCTTAATTCATTATCATTTGTGGAATACAGAGGGGATAACTGGAAAAGGCGAACTAACAAGGTGTCTGAAAATTACATAGAAGGTACGGTTTTTTCGATTTTGTTTTTTTTACTACAAGATAATAAAATTTTCGAAATTTTATTTCATTTTCGAAAATTTATTTCAGCGGTTTTTGGGTTTTCTCTTTAGATCATGTATTATATTTAGTAGTTAATCAATAACAGCACACCTTGTGAGCTCCCCTTTGTGTATATAATATGTCCTAAACGATTTCTTTATCACAGTAGTAATGTTTATCATCTTTACGTGAGAACTTTCATATTTACTTTCAAGTACATATTTTTTTATTTCTTAAACAAATTATCATAAAAAATATAAGTAGTGAAATCAAATTCGAAACAATATATGCCAATAAACTATAGCACTTAATTAATCAAAATTCAAATAAATATATAGTTAAGGTGTGTAAAAGAGAGAGAGAGAGAGAGATAAAAACGAAAATAGCAATAGAGTTTTGCGAACCTGTCCCCACCAGTGCCGGCTCCGCCATCAGCTAATGCCTCACCGCCATCGGCTTCAGATGACGAACCGCGCGACAGCGCCCCACGTATCTCACCTGGCAGAACTTCTTCACTGCGGTGCACCGTAAATGAGTTCTTACCCTTCTTTCCAAAGCCCATACGTCTTTTACGACCTTTATATATGGTATGTACATGGATAATTGGTAATTTCAAAATGTCGTGCCTTAATTTTTTGTTTTTTATTTATATTTTTTTCTCCTAAAAATGCTGACTGATATGAATTTCTGCAAAAAGTCAACTAGCTTGTGTGTAAATGTTCTCTTTTTAATGTCATTCCTTTAAATATGACTATAAATTACGTAGTATTTACACTTTGACTCATACTAGCGTGTGTATAAATTGATATATAATGAAAACAGAAGGACAGTGTTGCCAAATATAAAAGTAATCAAATCGAATATAATACTATGAAAGTGAAAATGAGAATGTCGAACCAAAGGTACGAACAAATGGCGTCGTGTTCATAAAAATTTTCACTGTTTTCAAATGTTTTATAACTTTGCTTGCTATTACTAAATAAAATTTGCATGAATATCGTTTTCGAACTTTATAAAATGGTTAGTATGAATGTTGTATGATCTTTTACTAAACTGCTGGAGAAAATCTTTGACATGTATAAGCGTGTAACGGTAGTTAAACTGGGCGTGCTCTTACCTGTAGCCGATAATTGCGAGGTGGAGTTGGATTTTTTACCCATACCGCTGCCGCCTTTGGGGGAGCGCTCTTGATCGACGCCGCCCTTTTTGCGATCTGTTGCTGTATCAGATAAGCTGCCATCTGATGGGATAATCACAGGATTAGTTAGTTTACAAATCATTATTATTAAGTAAAGGAAGTATCCAAAACAACGAGTATACAACTACGATATAGAAAAATAAAGTTTAAAAAACTTGCAAAAAAATGCAATTACACTTAAGCGCTCGTAAAAATTAGTCTCCAAAAGGACAATGAATTCGATCTGTTTGACAGAGAAGGCTTTAAAGAGTTTTTGATAAAATTGTTAGAATTTTTTCAATTCTGAAGTATTAGACTCTAAATTATTCTTAACCAGACTGTGGTTCTGTTTGGAAGTATTGGAAGACGGCCTTCTGGTTGGGTATCATTTCAAGCGCCACTGCAGCGGAAATATCTGCATAAATGCTTTATATACCTCACTTTGTTGTCAACCAATAATATCGGTCTATGAATAGTTCAAGAAAATGAGAAGAAGGATTTCATTAAAATACTTATATACATATATATATATATATATATCTTGGAAGTCCTTAACATCAGTCGATTCTTCTCAAATGTAGAATTAGTCTTATCATAAAATATCGTTTTGTATTGCATAAGGCGTATTAAAAATGTGTTCGAGGTTAGAGTAGGTGATGAGACTTATAAATCGCTTCCGTTTTGCGTAGACATCTACAAAGGTCAAAGCCTTTGCTGGGGTAGAGATTCACAGCCTGAAATCTTACTTGACTAAGATCATGACTGGGTTAAAAATTTGGATTCGATCCCTTTACATCGATAGCAAATGAAAATTTATGTCATGTAGAAAGTGGAGGGTAGAGAGACAATGAAGGTAGTCAACCTTTGACGCCAAAGTGCGAAACATACTTCGGACTACTGGTATGAACTGGTGGATTCGACAGTCAAGAAGCGGAAGCTTTGAGATCGCTTACATATAAACATTCATAGCTAACAGTTTTTTGCTTAATTCACATAGTTTAAGGAATGGAATATAAGTCAAAACACATACTACCATAACTGCTAAATACGCACACACATATGTTTACATCTACACGACATTCAGGAAAGAACATACACAGCGACATACATATTAGCTTACCAACTTTCTCATCAACACTCTGACTAAAGTTGGCATCGTCCTTCTTCTCCTCACCACCACCATTTTTGTCTTTGTCATATTCACTGAAGTCGTCGTCCAGCATAGCGTCGATGGCATCCCAATCGATGACGTCAAGCGGTGCATCGGCATCATCCGTGGCAGCGGCATCGCCAGCCGCAGTTGTTGTATCACCAGTATTCGTTGTTGTTGTTGTGGTTGCGGCAGCAGGATTTGTTGTTGAGGTTGTTAAGGTTGAATTTGTTGTTGCCATCGCATTAGTTGTTGTTGTATTCGACGATGATGTGGTTGTGATGTTTGTGGATGTAGTTGTTGTTTGTATGGGAGTTGTAGTTGTTGTTGTTGTTGTTGTTCCGTCAACGTTTACGTTTAGGTTAGCGTCGTTAGTTGTATTTGTATGTTTCAATGAGGCACGTTTAGGTGATGTGGAGTTAGCGACACCATGATGGGAATTTGCAAAAGAGGAAGAAGAAGCATTATTAGAAATATTACCACCGACGACGATATTACCAGCAGCAGCAGTAGAAGAAGCACCACCACCACTACCACTCCCACTACTAGATTTCGTCTGTTGTTCCGCGCCGTATGAAACTTCTTTCCCTTTTTGCCTAACACTACCACCACTACTAACAAAACTATTACTACTTGCATTTGTTGTTGTTGTTGCATAATTACGACTAGTGTGCGAGTCTATATAGGGATCACCGTAATCATCGTATTCGAAATATTCGGGTTGGTCATTGATACTAACGAGATTACTGCGATCACTGCCCGATTCATGCTGTAACTGTTCTACACGTGTACGATGACCACCAGTGGTGGCCATTGATGATTTACTGCGTTTGGAGATAATTGATGATGGATGACGTTGTTGTTGACTAGGTGACGAGCCTGGCCCTACTGAGCGACTGAGATCACGCGGATTGCGTTCATCGCGTGGATCACGTTGATCGCGATGTTCGCCAATTGGTCCCGGTCGTTCGGCGGAGCCTGTACCGTTCATGGATGTTGGTTCGCCACTATGTGGCGGCAGCGTAGCTGACGAATGTGTGGTGGGGTCCATTAACATGGGGTCGTCGTCGTAACCCTCAACGGGTGAGAAATTGTGGGCGTTTTGTGCGCTTGGTGGATGCGGCAGATTGCGACGCCGCTTTTGGTATGGCAGTGCAGCGCCGTAAAGTTTTTCCTGATTGGTGCGCTGTAAATTTAGAGACATATGATTACGTTCGCGGCCATCGAAGCGACGTCGCGGATCGTGAAAAACAGACGGTGCAACACCGCGCCGCGTCCAACCCACATCCGAGTCATAGGTAATAGTAACGATCTTGTCATCAGTGACAAGAAAGTGTGAGTGACTAAGCGGATTGACTGCGTCAACATTGGCACCCATATAAGATTGTCGTATATTTGTCTCGGAACCATAACGACGAGATAGCTCTTCCAGTGGCGGATTATATATCTCGTCTTCGTATCTTATGCGACGATGGCCCCAACTCTTCGCATGCAAATCATCATAATCTAGTGAACGTGATTGGCCCTCATGAAACATTTTTCGCCGATCTAATGTGCCCGTTGGTACGCCAACTTTCGGTTTTTTCAATATCGAAGTAGGCTGCGCTTTCGATTCAGCAATTGGTATAGCCGTTACAAGTGCGTCTTCGCTTAATTGTCGCGACAGACGCAAAACCGATTGTGTGGGCAGTTGAGGTGGCGGTGCCAGTGAGGACTTGGCCTTTTTGTGCGCTGTTGGCGTTGGGGTATGTACGTGATAGGTGGGCACAGCGCCCAAGTCAATTTGTGGTGCGGTAAGACCGCTCACGAAATGCTGATCCACACATTCGCCGCATATTGCTGGATCCATAGTTGGCAGTGAAGGCTCTGACGATGGCTGATACATGGACAATGACGGTCTACGTAGCAGTTGTTCGGCTGTATAAGGATAGGCGACCGGATGATGCTGTGGATGTGGATGGGATTCAGCAATGCAAAATGGATTGTCGCAAGCGCCTATGGCAATGCCGGGTGTGGTGAGTGCAGCATTTGTCGACAGTACGACCGGCTGGCTGCCGTTTTGGCAGTGGCTGCATGTATTGTCATAATGATCACGCACATAGGCAATGTACGATGAGGGCGATGATGATACGGAATGGGCGTGCTGATGCGGCGAATTGACTGCAGCAGCAGTCGGTGTACTTAGTGTAGAGCTTGGGCTATGACGAAATAGATTCACTACTGGCGTGGTGATACGTTGCAAATGATCGTAGAATGGGTAATGGCTACTGGATCCTAAGGAGCTATCACGTGGAAATAACTTGTCAGCGAAAGGACTGAATTCGGCAGCATGAGTTAGAAACTCGGGGAAATGTATGGAATCCGGTATGTGAGGTAAGTATTGATGTGGATGAAATATATGGGGATGTGGCTGTGGATGTGAAAGTGATGGCTGTTGTTGTTGTTGCTGCTGTTGCAATTGTGTGCTGACAGTGTGCGCTGGCGGCGGCAGCGGCGGCGGTAATGTGGATGGAGGTGTAGGCGGTATCACCGTTACGCCCGCCGGCTCCATTAACAACAGACCCGGCTCTGTGCTTCCATCAAGCATATACGGATCCACTATTAAATTGCCGCTATTGTCGGTTATGACGAGTTGGCTTGGCAGTTGTGTTGGTTCATGTAGCTGTTGTAATTGTTGCAGTTGTTGCGGTTGCAATTGTCGGTGTGGTGGTAATAGGTGATTTGTTACGCTTGTACTGAGGATTTTGTGTGGATTGGATGCCGCAACCAAATTAGCCGTGTTCGGCGGCGAATCAGCTGCTGCTAGTTCGGCTAGCTGTTGCAGCTGCTCTAACTGCTCCAACAACAACATCTGTTGTGACGCTGTATTGAGATGTGGCGGTGACTGCCCCATACCGTACAGTGATGGCGCGCCCGTTAAGCTGGTTGATAAAAAATCACAATCATCGACTTCGATCGTATTGGCGCGGTAGCGCTCAAAGAAGCCGCGTCCCCGAGCGTGTGCATGGTGACCGGCAAGCGTGGTGGTGGGGACACTGCCGGGCATTGGGTCGGCGCCGTACAAGCTGCGCCAATTGCGTGGCAAACTTTTGATGGTGTGAAGGACCGATTGTTTGGTTGGGTTTGGGTGATTGCAATTTCGATTTCGATTCACGGTATGTTCATGAAGCCGCGTGTGCATTTGATAACGAGTGTGTATTGTTGGTGGTTGTTTTTTTATGTTGTTTGGATTTTGTATTTTTGCATTTTTTAATAGCGTTGTTGTTGTTTTTTGGTGTGATTTCAATCCGCATGCGCATGCAAGAATGCAAAATGATCGATGAAGGATCATCACGATTGTTTGTTTGTTTATTTGTTGGAATTTGTTGTTTTTGTTAATGTATTTGTTGTTGTTGAATTCGTATSGTTTGCGTTAAAGAGTTAAAATTATGGATTTTGTTAAAAAATTATGCAAATAAGTTTAACATATTGCCATGTAACGGTTGTTCGGTGCGAAGTGGCGTGTTTTGCACGTTGTTTGTTGTTGTTGGTTCACGTCAGTCAGTCAATTTGTGTAGTGTGAAATTATGCAAAAGTTGTTGTGTTCGTTGTGTGTAATCGATAGAACATTTAGTTGTGGTTGTTGTTGTTGTTTTGTTGACATTTTTGGTTGTAGTTTGTTGTTGTTGGCATATATAAAGCAGTTCAACATAAAATTAGCGGGCGTCATTGAAGTGAAGTAGAGTAGATTTTTTGGATTGAGTAGAGTAGAATTAGTTGAGTTGAGTAGTTGAGTTGAGTTGAGTAGTTGAGTTGGGTTGAGTTGAGTTGGGTAGAGTAGGTATGTAGGTATGTAAAAAATAATAAAGTAAAAAAAAAACAAATATTTGTTTGTTTTCCAGCAGAAGTTGCCAAGTGTAAAAAAAAAATGATAATATTGCCAGGGTTGCATTTGCTGGGCCAAATTTTGTCACAACCCAATCGTTTTTGCTTGATACAAGCAAAATAAAATGAAACTGAAGTGTGTAAAATAAATATTGTAAAATTTTTGTACGCATTTGCTTCAAAATTGCGTCTGATTTCGATTAAAAATTAATTCCAAACTTACGAATTTCGGTTTGTAACGGCTGATTGTTCGACTGATTTGAATTGTTTGCTTTTTTTTTAGTTTTTTTATGATTTGGCACGATTTTATATTAATATTTTTTGTTTTGGTTATGGTTTTGGTGCAGAAATTTTGTTTCCCGGCTGTTTACAACAAACACACAGCAACCCAAAACGAAAGCGTTTTTTTGTGGGATACAAGGGAAAAGCCGCTCGGCTAGCAGGCCAATAAGCAGCTACTTACCTCAGTCCACGTGAACCGCGCGGCCGTTCCGATTGTGTAGAGAAGGCGCTCGATGTCACGCTCACCACCGACTCCATATCCGAATCGCCAAATTCACCCATGAAGTCCTTATCGGGTGATAGCGAGTGTCGCGGTCGTGTCCGCGCCTCCATCGATTGCAGATCGCTGTCCGAGAGGCCGGTGTAGTGGCGCTCCCAACCACCCATGCCGGTACTACGGTATGTGGCCTGATGATGAATTTGACGCGTGCGATGACGACCGAAGCGACCGCCACCCGGGCGTTCATCGAACTCTTGACCCAAGCGATCGCGTAACATCGCGCTGCGTGAAGTTTGCGGCACCTAAAATGCAAAGGCAAAAAACAATCGTGTAAAATAGGAAAAATTAGTATTGCTGGACGCACCTGGGGCAGCTGCCGTTTTTTGGGCGAACCCGTCGGTGTGGCTGTTGCGGAACGTGACTGAAAGCGTCCCTGTTGCGCTGTACCAGTGGGGCCGATTGCAGCGCCGCCTAAGCCACCCAAGGGAATACCACCGGCGGTGGCACTTAACGAACTCGCACCACCCGACAGTGAATGCCCGTATGCTGAGCCGCCTGTTGCGTGTATTGGAAGCACTGGATAGTCTATGTAGCGATCGTCGGGCGGCGACAGTGAACCGCGTCGAGGGCTGCTGCTGCGATAATAACTGTGACCGCTGCCGGTCACACCGTGATAGCTGTCAGTCGGTGCGGCGGAATGACTGCGCTGGCTGAGGCTCAAGCCACTGGGACCAGTGATGGCGCCATTGCGACGCAAGTAACCAGTGCTCACCTGCTGTTGGCAAAATCAGTTGTAGCAGCGAAATAATAAATATATATAAAAAGATTATTGTAATGGAAATATGCAAACACGCCTTGTCATATATGAGGTAAGTTAGACGTTTTAGCGCACGCGATACGCCTCACTCGTGCACATTGCAGGGGGGACAATTTTTTCTCACTTATTAACTAAGAAATGTTCTCATTTAACTGAAATTTGAATACTTGAAAAAGTTCTAAAATGTTCAAAAGCAAGCAAAAGTTCATTTTGTTGGTGTGGCATACGTTAAAGGAATCGTAAATTATTGTTGCAATCAATAGTTACACACTTATAAATACATTAACTTACAAAAGAAACTTCTAAAATGTAGTTGAAAAATTCGCACTAAATACAGTTAAATTATATTACAACAGCGTATGGATATTTAATTGTTATCTATATGAAAACTCTACTAGTAAAGGCATACAAATGTGGGCTTTGGTTCAAAGGCTGTAGCGACGCGGCAAATGCAAGTATTCTAATGCGTTGGCGTAATGATTGTGCGTCAGGCTGGAATGTATAAAGTGGCACCTCGAGTTAATGAGAGCGATGATATCTGCTTAAAAAATTATCCTTTAACTACCTAGTTTTAAAATACTGCAAATATATTATTCTATGTCTCTTCTAGGAACATTGTTTTGCTTTCTAATTTAAAGGTTAAATTAGACTCATCATTAGCCACTAGCTCGTACACTTAAAACTAACCAGATTTTATTGGGGTTCAAACGTAAAGTATAAAGAGCGAGACATTTTTGGATCTAGACTTACTTTAAGAGCTTCATAAAGCTAACACGAAAAATTTGATATGTCCTAGCCCTGACTTGGTGTAAAGTGGGTTCAAAATAAAAACCTTACAAAATGTCGTCGGAAAAAATAGGTTTTGTACGGAAAGTAATAGGAGTGATTTTCTTCAGATTGGATGCGGTAAAGGCCTTCCTAGCTAACAAATAAGCGGCTGGTCAGTTGTCGCCGAGTATTTGGAGCGTCAGGACAAACATTTTCGCGAGAGTGTTTCTGTGAGTGGAGTAACCCGAAAATGCAGCGTGCGTTAGAGCAGAGATAAGCGTTAAATTCTGTGTGAAACTCGGTAAATCTGCGACAGAGACTTTTGATGCAATCAAGCAGGCTTACTCACATGCTGCTTTAGCAGAAAATGATGTGTTTCGGTGGCAGCAGGCCTTTTTGGAGAGCCGGCGTCTCCTCGCCAAAAACATGGAAGAATGAGCAAAGTCAAAGTGAAAACGATGCTCATTGTTTTTTTGTTTTTTTTTTTTTTTGCCATCAAAAGCATCGTCCACCATGAATTTTTCCCTCCTGGACAAATCGTAAGCTCCAAGCTTTATGTGGAAGTCCTCAAGAGACTCAAACGAAGTATCAATCGGGCCCGACAAGACATCGCAGTCGATTGACTCACACCTTCTTTCCTGTGAACAGCCCATATATGGCCCGCCGGACGTTTTTGGTTTGCTTGCCCGAAAAGGCCGATGAAAGGCAAGCATTTTGAGACGACAGAGGGGATCTTGGTAGCATACACCTCGACTTACACAGTTATTCCGGAGAATGCCTTCCGTGATGCAAAAGGAGCCTATTTTGAAAGTTTTTAAATCGTTGTAACGATTGGTTCAATAATTTTTTTTTTTAATCGACTCAGTCCTATTACTTTAGGCGCAAACGCTGTAGAAATATTAGTTATAACCCGTGAGAACGTTTTACTGGACGCAGAGATATACACTAGTTCTCAAGCTCTTATAAACTGCATTTTTGACGAAACTATAGGCAATCAAAAGTTTAGACATTAAATTATCTTGTTTAACAGTCGGAATTGCTCTGATATGACCTGACATTGATAGGAGTTGGTAGTTCTATAATTTTTTTCAGTTGCAGTCTGGGCCAGAAGACTTGCGGAAACGCGCAAGTGCTGGTTTTAGACCAACGTTTGTTGAGCTCGCGCCAGGCTTGTGGATGAAATGCCCGAGTGCCCGAAAACAGGGATACACCTGCTTGTTCTCATCCTAAAGGGATTTGGGTAAGGGTGCGAGTTCATCGGATTTATTGTTTCCAAAGATTCTGACTTAGATGTCTTCAATTTATTTATGTGAATATTCCATTGATATTTCTTCAAACCGGTCCATAGGAATGTAAAAGTTATTTTAAAGTTTTTACCAAATATTCTATAAAGGACTTGCCACCAACTGTTTACAAATTTCTACCGTATCGCCTAATTGCTAACCCACTTGGAATTTGATAACAATTGTTAGCCAGTCAGTTTCCGTGACATATGCCTATATCAATATGTCGTGTTATTTATAATTAGTTTATTTTAACTTTCCTAATATTTTTATCGGCCTAATATGCTTATACTGCAATTGTATTTGCATTATATTTTTATTCAAATTTCTGTTTTAAATTGCGACTAGATTTCTAATATTTATATTCAGCTGTCTTAAAGGACTTTAGTTAGAGCGCTGTTGCGTGGCACAAGTAACACACCAATTACATACGCGTATATATGTATGTATTTATTTGTAATTGCTTTCAAACCTGATTGTGGTAACTTTGTCCAATGCCAGATACCGTACGATAATCACGCGATACCATGCCAGCTACACGCTTGCGACCTTGCGGCGACATATCGCGTCTTGAGCGACGCTCATTTAAATCGATCTGCTGTAGTGGTGAATTACGAAAGTTTTTGTTGTTTGTAGCCCAAGTTTGCGTATATATTTAAGTTGACGTAACCGTATATATATATATATATATATATTTATATATACAAAAATGGTTTTAAAATGAAGGCGCATGAATTTTGGTGCAGCGTAGGTGGGGGATTTTAAAACGTTGCAGAATTGGATAATTGTTTGATTTGTCAAATTTTTAGGTTATAGGTGAGCGTGATTATTTCGAATGTCATTAAAAGAGTATGGAAGAGAGAAGAGAAATAAAATAAATAATATAAGTGAGTGAGAGAATTTCGATATAACAATAAAGTCATATACATCAATTAAGCTACTGGAGATAACTATTTTCGGGAATTATTTACAAATGTGGGTACAATTTTCGAATTTTAATGCACACAGGATGGCAAGGAGTAATCTTAAGTTTTTTTTTTCATTTATTCTACTTTTAGAATATGTTATAAAATTGAAGGGGTGTGTACACATGGAGCGGTTGTGGTGGACTATAGTTATATAGTTGTGTACATTTGTATGGGTGTTGGGTGTTTAAGTGGGGTTAGTTGATTAGTTTCAGTGGAACACTTACTATGTGTTAGTCAGGCTTGTGTTCAAACACTTCAACAAGTATGTAGGTATACTATTATTTGTATTTGGGAGGTGTAATGGTGATTTCTGGTGATAACGGGTGATCGGGGCAATGGAGGTTGATAACGGCTGTTGGTATATGAAAGGTTTGCAGATAAGGTGTAATGAAAAACTGTGTCGTAAATCTATTATGGGCGCAGTTTTGAGTATTTTTAAAGCACACATTTAGGCGTAAAGCTAAAACACACATCATTTATGCTAACTATCACACTGAAAGTAGTAATGCAAACTAAATATGATTACGATTACATAACATACATTTACGCATGCAACAATGAACTAATTACAAGTATCAAAAATTACTTCACACGCAGACACAAGTGCGGTCTTAATAATTTTTGCCTGTATAGATATTACTTAAACTTATTTGATCAAACAATATTCGTATGCATGTGTTCTCATTACTCAAGTAATGTGCTTGACATTTCTTCATTCTTGCTTAAATTAAATTGATTGCTTACTTTTCTAGTTAATTACAATTTGCATTCTTAAATATTTATTATAAATTCACATAAATCAGTTCGTTCAACACAAATAATAATACACGCTGTTTTACATTAACAGTTATATATATGTATATAGAAGTATAATATATAACAGCACCTTTCATAAAACCACACATGAATTACGCTTAAAGTTGTTGCTGTTGTAGTTGTAAAACAATCAAAAATACCAAAAGAAATCCACAAAAGTACTCGCAAAAGTTTAGATCTGCAAAGGCTTGTTCAAAAGTAGCACGTCTTCTTTTAAAATACAAGCGCACAGTTAAGAGAGAGAGAGAGAGAGAGCAAGCGAAAGAGCTACAGAATTGCATTTACAAGCGCGCTTGTATTTCGGTGTGTACGTGCCTGCGTGTATTTGTGTGAAAACATCGGCAGCCAGTAAGGAATAGAGAGTTCGTGCGTTCGTATGCCTGTAGACGAGCATAAAGGCAGTAGAAAAGCTAATGCAAACATTTGTAGAAAGCCTGGCTTTGAGAGAAAATCGTTTATACAACACCAATCAGAAAAAAAATTACTAATAAGAAAATGTATTTAATTTACTCTTATTATTTATATATGTATATAATGCATATAAATGTATATACATATGTAAATATAGTTATGCATTGCGAGAGCGACGACAGATAATTGTATTTTTAAATTGGGAATGAAAATGACACATTCGCATCAATGCGCTCAGAAATGTTTGTTTGGTGGATGTAATGATGTTTACTGATGACGGTTTTTGACGGATTTTGAGAATGGGCGATAGGTCAGACTTTTAATGCGCAGTTGAAGTTTCTAGAAGGTGGTGAATTTCGAAAAACTTCAACTTACATTATGCTCGGAATGAAATCTATATCTGCGGCTTATTAATTGTATTATCGAGATTGAGACCTCAATGCCGCATGCTATAATGTGGTATACATACACTGTTAAACAGAAGTTAAGATCCGATTATTTTAATCGAAACTCAACATTCAGCTAAAGAGGGAAATGAAAAGCCAATAACAAATGGAAGAAAGAAGAAAAAATGTTAAATTCGCTGCTATCGAAGCTATAATACCCATCACATCTATACAAGTTTCCTTACAAGAATTTTATTCAGTTGTATGGCAGCCATGTTTTGCCGTGACCCAGTATAGACGGTTCCACCAAATTAATATCCTCTTGAGGAGAAAATTGCAGTTAGAAAACCCAAAAACTGAGTCACTAAGTCTCGTATTTACAGACAGATGGATATGTTTACACCTTATTGTGTCTCCCATGCATGCATTTGATAATTAGAACTATATGTTAGCACTGGGATTCGCAGTGGCTAGGGGCGTCTCTGGGTTAAAACTTTGGAAAGAGTCGGCGTAGCCATGCACTCTAATAGGTTTAATGTACGACACACATCTTCTAGACCACTAAAGCTGCAATATTGACACTGTAAAATTAGTTGAAATTGGAGAATAACTACGTCCACTCCCCATAAAACGGTACTGTTAAAAACTACTAAACTACGATGGGCGTGGCACCGCGTGGTAAAACCGCACATCTCGGGACCTGTCTGGCCGATTTCCACTACATTTGGTACATGACTTTCTTCTTACAACCTTATCACATAGTGCGAAAATGAGCAAACCACGCCTACACTCCAAATTGCACAACTTTAAATTCCAACATCAATCGATATAACGGCATAAAACAAGGCACTAATAGCTTTATTAAAGTATGCCATCTTATGGCCAAAAATTGTTCAAATCCATGATAAACTGTTCAAGCCCGCAAATATCGGAATTGTGGACTCATGTATCTATAGTTCAATTTTGACCGAAATTTTCGGACAATGTGATTTACGTATCAAAAATGAGTTTAATCCGGTTAATATTTCCCTGAGCCCCCATACACCTATTGCTTAAAACGATTTTCGAACTTCCGGGTGACTTCATACCGCACATGTCGGCAAATATGTGAAAATGAGAGAGCATGTTTTGCTCATAACAGTGTATCTTTGTGCCCAAAATAGATAAAATTGGGGCAAAGCTTGACTGAGCCCCCATTTAACTAATATCAAGGCTTCACGAACATCGGGATGAATTTACTGCATATCACTGGCGATTGCATGTGAGGTACCTTAACAAAACCCAGGGAACATTTTTTTAGTAAGTGGCATTGTAATAGTATGTGATATTTGCAAAGATAGAGTATGCCCAAATCTCATATTTTCCTGAAGAAATTTTTTAGTTTTTGATTTTTACAAGTTGTAAGAGTATAATCCTTATATGTTATGTATTCTATTGAAAAGGAAGCGGCAAGTTGGAACAGACAATATTCTTAAACTAGAACAAACAGTTCGCAATATTTAAATGTTGATTTGAATTTTTCATTATGTCGCCAATTGTGTTGCGCTTGAAGTTAAACCAACTGATCTTGTTGTTTACTACATACATATAACCGACTAAGTCACTGCAATGTTTTAATCAAAGCTGTCTGTCGCATTCTATAGGGCTTTTATCCGAATTATTGTTAAAAACACGAAATGCTTTCACAAAGCTTTTGCAAAGCTTTCACAAACTATTGCTGAAAAGTCTTTCTAAAATCTTAATAGAACTGAGCTTTCTAATTTGGCAAACACCTGTTTGTGACTTAAAAGCTTTCACCGTTTAACAATATATGTATGTATTTGTGGGAGTATACATGCGATTTCCAAAACAAAAGAAAAAGTTGTGGATGATATGCAGTTATGGAGCGAAATGTAAATGATGTAAATATGTACATTTGTTCACAATTTAAAGTAGTTCTTGGAAAGCAAAGAGTTATCATAAGATTGTTATATGATATAAGTGTATGTATATGGAGGAAATGTGTAATTTCGTTTGTGTGCTTTTTGTAAAGCTTTTTGTTGTATTCTTATGTGTTGTGAATGTTTGTTACATTACTCCATTATACTCAACAGAAAAACATAAAGTATTTTTCACAATTCGACTTATGTAGTTCTTAATAATGCGTTGTCTGATGGATTTCATTGTGTGTGTGTGTTACCTCTGGTGGTGGACTTGATGAGCTGCCCAGTGAGGATATGCTTGCCCCATCACGCCCCGGCGTCAGTCCATCGATGTCACATTCAGACGTCGCATCGGAGTCGCTAAGACGTGACATTGTGCTGGGTGGTGATAAATGATCTGTCGGTGTCAAAATCATAATGTCCACTTCACTTTGGTCGTCGTGATGCAACTATGATGGGATAGGAAAGGGAGAGGGCGGTGTTTAGTTGACATACATACATAAAATGGAAGGTGCTACACATATACCATATAAGTTTTTTGAAAGTATATGCGAATACGTGCGTTTGTTTTTAGTTTTATATGAACTCACTTGTATTCTTGTATTTGCATATACTATACGCTTACATACCAATAAAACGGCTGTCAGGCGTCAATAAAATTTTGGGTGCGTGTGTCTCAATTTTAATGTGCTCAATGTGGTATGAAATGCTGGAGTATGTGTGACATTTTCGTGAGAGATCATCAATCATTTATAGCAGTGGCTTAGAAGCCACACTATTACTTTTCTAATAATATGTGTTTTTTAATTTTGTTTTTTGAAAATATTAAAAAAAAAAAATATTTTTCGTTTATGAAATTTTCTCCAACAAAACCAGCTTAGCAAATAGCAACTACCTTAATGTCCTTATTATTTTATGAATACAATTTCGATTGTTGGTCCGAAAGTGAAGGCTTGATTGATTTTTTAACACACACACACACACACAAATTCGATTACAGTAACTGCTTGAAGAGTACAAGTCTATATTAGACTCAGAGAGTTGCAATGAGTATGATTAAGCTGGACAAAACACTCGTGCCGAGAACACAATCAAATTAATTCGGCTTATCATACTCCTCCAAGTTTTCAACGGTTCTTTAACCAGAAAAAGTGATAGCGGAAAATGGTGCTGAAAAATCAAAATCTGGTATGAGACAACTCTTTTTCTTTCTCTTGTTGTCTCCCTCTCTCTTATTTCAAACTCTTTGGAAGTTATTAGCAACGAAACAGTCTAAACACAGGACCTTTAGAGGCGTTCTCTGAAATTAAATGAATATAAGCCAGATCTCGTGAAGCAAGTTGCATAGTTGTAGAGGGTATCGCAAAAGTAACCCTCCTATAAGAAGATGCTATAAACTTTGCAATTGACCTCTAATGTCAGTTCTGTTTTGACATTTGTGTGGTAAACACATGCACAATACACGTAAATAAACAATGATACGCTACACTGCTTCAGAAAGCGGGTTATTGGTGACTATTTATTTGACCAATAATGGGTCGGCGACTTTGGTAGAACGTGAATTTTATCGCAGATTTCCTGGCCGTCCGACGCCTACTGGTGAAACACTGCGACGTTTAGCCGCTCGCCTCGAAGAGACTGACACAACACGAGATGCTGCCAAGCGTGGCAGACCCCGCGGATGTCATGGAAGCGCCGTCGACATCGACCAGACGACTTGCCACGAATTAGGTATCATTCGACGGTGCTTACAGCGAGTTTGGTACAAGATTTGATTATGTTTCCGTACAAAGTCCAGACGGTGCATCAGCTGTTAGCTGCTGACCGCCAATCGCGTCTAATATACGCTCAAGCCATCCTTAATCAGCGCCAAGAGGAAGATGATTCTTCATCAAAAATAATAATAATAATAAAAGTACGTAAATAAGCAAAATTTACGCTTCTGGGGCACTGAAAATCTGCGTATAACCTACGTAGAGCCATTACACCCGCTCAAAGTCACTGTATCAACAATTGTTCAACAGGACGATGCAACGGCACACACTGCACGTGCCACAACCGATATGCAGGAGGATGAAATTCTCGGGCGCCTAATCTCCCGTTTTGACGATTTGCACTGCCCAACAAGATCGCATGATTTGACCGCTCCATTTCTTTTTGTGGGGCGTTTAAAATTGCGGGTTTATATCAACAATACTCAGACTCTTGCAGCTCTTAATGACAATATCCGTCAAGAATGTGAGGACCTATCGCCGGAAATTCTGGCCAAAGTGATGGAAAATGCCATAAAAAGGGCTCAAATGACAATCAACTGTGGCGGCGGTCATTTACATGATACCATATTCTCGACTTGATGTAAAAAAAAATTTAAAAGACCAAATAAAAATAATCCACAAGCAGAATAAAAGTGTTTCATTTCTTGTTTTTTTTTACATCTGAAGGTTATTTTCTGAAGCAGTGTCACGAGAGACATTGATTGAGAGGAAACCTCTTAAGTAAAATTTATATATGTGTAACTTGGATTTAGGTTTCAGTGTCATTCGAGAGGGAGCTCAAAACTGAAATACAGATTATTGGAAGATGCAGGTTTTATTATTTTTTGAGAATGAGGTAAATTTTGCAGAATATGAAAAGAAATAACCATTCAGTAAGAAACATATGTTCGGGTCTTTTTTTTAGAATCAAACGAGTTTAAGTTTCTTGAAAGAGAGTATATGAAACTTGCTGTCTTGTGGAAACTTGCTGGCGACAAGCTTATTCTGCATGCGAGAGCTAATTGTGAACCTTTTTTCTTTTGCGCACTGTATGATTGAGAAATAAAATTTGAGCACGCAGGAACGTAAATTTTTTTAGTATTTTGTTTAAGCAGCCATTTTTAATGTTACTCAGACACAGTTTCAACTTTGGTAAGTACAATAAAGAATTTAGCGTAAAGTGCGATGTATATATTCCATGCTTTCCTGTCACCATTCGCATTACTGATGCTACCTGATCAACGAGGCAAACACAGTTGTCAAAAAACTGTATGTTAAACTGAATTAAAGTATATAACTAATTACTAAAAGTATGTATGTATGTAATATACAAAAATGTGTAGATTCTAAAACACTTAAGCATATTCCTGTGGTGTACAATGTTTTCAGTATTGTATTACTATTTGAATAATTTTTGTTGTACACAGCTGTCAACATTGACACTTGGCAATGCTAACATCGGCCACTAGTTTAAACGAGTATAAAGTAACTGTAATAAAACGAGCGGTATAAATTCACACATACGAGATACGAAGTGTCCTGGTGGGGCTGCAGCTGATACCATTCCGCTTCGTCGTCGAGCACGTGATGCGCCAAATCAATGACCACTTCGCCGATAAAGTCATTGGCCCCATAGCGCACATAATCCCACAGCGTCACCTGATAGAAGCGGCCAGCGAAAGCACACGTTACATTAAAATGAAATTCACAAAAAAAAAAATAAATAAATAAAATAATAATAATAATAACAATTTGCATAAATAAAATGAAATTCGAATTGCAACAGCGTTTAATTACTTCGAGTAAACGACCGGTGAGATCGGAACGCCTTAAGCCTGTGTAAACGAACGTTTGACCCCAGCGCGGTTCGCATGTAGTCGCTAAAGTTTTGGTGCGTCTTTTCGATTTTGTACCCCGATCGGGTAGAAGGAACACCTAGTAGTGTGATAAGGAAAATTTAGATACGGTTAAGCACTGGCGTTTATAGGTATAACGTGGATTATAGTTATATTATTTAAAGATATTTTGTTGTTATGTGGCATTCATTCTTTATCCTGGCTTTCGCAGCATTTCTACACTCACTTTTGCATAAGGATTGCGAGCGGCGCCGCTCTGACGCAGCGTTAGACCGGTCGCACAGACGATAGTAACTATCAGCTGCAGGGTATTCTGATCGTAGCCGAGTTTCATCTGCAGGCGGCCCTCGACGGCCATGGACAGCACATGCGCCACACCCACTGTGGGCAAGTGGTGGGCGGCGACATGCGGATGCGTATGCGATGGCGGTGGTGGCTGGTGGTAGTGATGATGGTGGCCCTCCGTCGTCGTTGTAACTGTAGTACCGACTACTGTTGCACTGGCTGTGTTCGCGACGTTCGCTCCGTGCCGTTGTTGTTTTTGTGGTTGTTGTTGTAGCGGATTTTGCGATTGCTGCTTCGATTGTGGATGCGTTGGTTGCTGCTGATACGTACCGGCGTCGCCGCTGTAGCCACGTTGTTGCACATTCGTCTGCCGCAATGTGTGCGCACCGCCGCTAGTGGCGTGTAAATCGGGCGAACCGGGCGATGTGATTAGTACGCTCGGCTTGTCGCGATGATGTTCGATTGCCGCTGCGGGCGCTGTTTGGGGAGAGTGTTGGAATAAAGTGATATAATTAGAATTCAAAATATATTTGGTAAGTGATATAGTCTAGTGCAAAGCAATTGTTTGTGGTAGCGTGGAATTAGGTATAAATAGTTTGCTGTTGCTGCAAAGGCTTACACCTCATATGCATATCTAACTGCTTAAGCTGCAAACACGCTCAAATACCAGATATCTTCGGGTGTTTAGTGTTAAATGACAGTGAGATGTGTGCTTTATTCGCAGATGACGGATAACTGAGTTGGTAACTCATATGATATATTGGTTTATGTGTCTATTTATGATTATAACGCTACTGAGTGGAATATTATTGCGACTAAGTAAACCAAAACTTTTCGTAATAGAACTTTGGTACTTATAAATTATCTATATAACACTAAGATTATTATTTTTTTTTTTTTATATTTAGTTGGTGCTGTGTACCTTTTCGTGTGTAATAGCGTCCGCCGCTGCTGACCACAGCACTACTGGCAATGGTGCTCGCGAGACATTGATTTTGCACTGTCACACCTTGTTGCTGCGGGGCGCCTACTTTACGTTTGGCATTGTTTTCACCGGCATTGGCGGGTAGAGCTCGCGAAACCACCAATTCGACCTGCGCGTCCAAGCGACTTTCGTCAATTATCTGATAAACCTCGTCGGCACACTTATTACGCAGCACTCGACCGTTCCATTCGATGATTTCGTCGCCTGATGCAAATGAAATACAAATGTGATGAGAGAGATAGAGACAGAGAGAGAGAGAGAGAGAGAGAAACGAGAGATAGAAAGATGGCGTTGTAAAATATAAATGCGTGCAAGTGTTAATGAATGGCGTATGGACTGTGTACGATGCGCTATTTCCGTACTTGGTGTCTTCGAGCGCGTCTCTGTTTTCAAAAATCTTACATGTGAATGAAACAACAAAGTTAACGAGTTGAATTCGATACAGGATAGCGTGCGGATACCTCTTTAAAGTGATCGTAGTTTTGTCAATAGCTCAAATGATAAAATACGGTTAAAAAGAAAAATGCTAGTTTGCAACTTCTGGTAGAAAAATGGTTAAGTTAGTTCGATTCACTACTATCCAAGGTTTGCCGCGCTATAGACAACAGCTGTTGTCCTCAGGAAAAATGTACTTATTGGGTGCTTTTCGCTTAAGCATTGCTTAAGCAATTTCCATTTGGATGGCAATTTAAGAGTATTGTTTATAATATATTTTCTGGATGAAAAAGATAACTTCCTTGACTCTTTAGATAAAATAAGAATTTTATAGTCAATATATAGTATGATTTAGACGTCTCAAAGAATAGTTTTTATGTGTAAGCTGTTGGAAAAGTCTAGCGGAGTCAAAAACTTCAAGTAGAAGTCAAAAGCTTTTGATCATATGGAATACTATTTTGAAATATTTTCTTTTTTAAACAGTTTAAAAGCTGCTGGTTTCTTTCAAAACCCTAAAACCTGGTCTAGTATTGTAATGTTTTGTTGCAAAGGCATTTGCGACCACGTAGAAGATTATAACCCTGTAATCAGTACCGTGGAGTGAAGAATGTAAAAAAGTTGTGAATGTTAAGAATGTCACAATCTCTATGATATATGTATATCTTATCTCTGTGATATGTTGCCTCAACTTCATTTAAGGCTGATCGGCGACTGCTGAATTGCCATTTGAACCAAGGAAGTGAAGTGCACTCTTAGAAGGAGATGCGAGTTCTGGAGTTTCTACGATAAATATGGAGACTATAATTTCTCTCATGACTACTTCTTGATGTTCGATTAACATTCGACATACATATCTAGAACCCTTGACTTTATATCATATTTTTCTAAGATTGTTATCCTCATTGTGTTAAACATTGATTGCTTAATGGAATAATTACTTTTCAAGCAAGGTAAATCCGGATTTTCGCGAGTATGTGCTTTCAAAATGTACTGTGAAAAGGTCATGCATGCTCATGAGTGCGTGTCTGCTATGTATGTTACATTGTTTACCTGGTCGTATATGTCCTTCAACATCGGCTACCGAACCGCGCTTCACCTTTTCAACGAACGCACCGCAATCGGCTGACTTATTGTGCGCGTCCGCTGCTGCTGTCGGCCGTTGACCGCCCACAACTTTCAAGCCGAGAATATCCTCACCATCGTAGTACTTTCGCAATATCATACGACCAATTAGGCACGAATTATCCGTGGATATTTGCCAATTCACCGGTTGCTAATAGTTTTGTAATTTTCAAATTTTTTGTTTTGTTTTAAAAGTGTTAACGGTGTTCGTAGATATACGGTTGATTGGACGGACGTTTGAACAGGTGATGTATATATATATATTTTATTATGATGATTGTGTTGGTGGAGTGCGTTGATGGAGTGGTACGGGTGTGACCAATCATTTACGTTTAGTTACATTTTTCATTGTTTTTGATTTTTTTTGTGGGTAGGAGTAGGTGGCGGAGATGGAAGTTGCATAAAACAGGGTAAATAAAAATTTTATGAATATTGTTGCATTGAATTTGTAAATATTCGTTATTATAAATTGTTAGTACGTAAAGGAATTTAAGTTTTTTGCGTCAATCAGTAATGCTGACTCTTACATTATGCTTAAAGTTGATACTGTACTAATAGTAGTTGGGTGTTTGGTAGCTTTTCGCTATCTACACTCAATTTGTAGTTGTTTTTATATATACATAGGCACACTTTTGATCAATTAATTTACAAATAGAGTTAAGAGACAATAAAATTTACTTAAACGCTCAGTTGACTCAATGCATATGCAATACATTCTTGGTATAAATGCTTTTTTTACATAGATACATATAATTTCACGAATGTATTAGTACAATTAGTGGTAAGCATAGAGTTTTCACTACAATATATAGAAAGGAATTTTTCTTTACATTTCCTCAATACAATAAATATTTGCCTAAAAATAGAAACTCATTTCAGTTTGCTTTGTTTTATTAATGAGAACACATACATATATAATGAAATCAGGCTTCAAAATTCACCTTAAATGTACATAGTAAAAAGTATGCAAAGGTCTGTGGTACGCTTATTGCGTGACATATTTTTATAGCATGCGATATTTGTGAAAAAATGAAACAGACAAAACATATACTAACAACAATATACTATAACAATAATGCGGTGGGTAGGAGATGTATTCGCATAGATAAATATATATCAACTTGTGCACCGTTAAAAATGTTTATAAATATATATAGATTATAGATGTATGTATATTTTAAAATAAATATGCATATGTGTGCTGAAATAACAAAAATTGTGAACTGACTTTTGCTACTTTTGCTTTGTAGTTTTTACAGTGTGTTGCAGGTTTGATAATGTGTTGGTTGGCTTCAATTATTGTTGGCTAACTAACACTTAATATTAAAGTATATAATACGATTTTCTAAATCATCTGATCGGCCTTCAAACAGCACAAAAATCTAGTCAATGAGATGATTTAAACATTGATTCATTGCATACAATTCGCTATTTGGCTATTTGGCAAACTTTTACTCAGCTTAGTATGCAAAGCGCGAGAGAGAGAGAGAAAGAGATAATCAAAAAGCGTCTAAAAAAAAAAACAAATGGATGTAATGAGAATATATAAAATTATAATTATAGTGCCTTACAGGAAAATTTGCTTTCTATGACAGTAAAACATTTCTGTTCTGTGCCGAATTACTCCTTTTTCTCTACCTTCACAGATAATAACAGATACCTTCTATCCATAGAACTTTCAAAAAAAAAAAAAAAAAACAACAAAAAAAAAAAAAAATAATTGTAGAGTGCATAGTTTTCTATACAAGTACATACATCATTCCGATCGTTCAGTTTGTTTGACAGCTATCTTGGTGAGAAAAGGGCGGATGCAAAATTCCAGATCGATATATCAAAAACTGAGAGGAAAATGGGCATATAGTAAAAACGACTTGGCTCATCATGGTGTTATAATCTTAATGGTTAAATTTAATATATCCAGCTCAAATATGAAAACGAGATCATTGAAAATTATGTATAGAATGGTGATATTTACCTTTACCGTTTCAAAATTATAAATGAAAATAATCGGTTTAGTATTACCAATAGATAAAATAAGTGATTGGATCGTGCTAGTGATGCTTGAGCGTCATACTCTGAATGTGATTTACAGGCATGCATATTACAAAAATACTCTGACTATACTTTGATTTGATGAAAGTAATTCCTTTCCTGATTTCTACTATTTAACCTCTAAATATGCTGTGTACCAACTAGGAATTCAAGAGCTTGATCTTTAACAACGATTTCTCAGATCAGCAGCAACAAATAATAATTATCGAAAACGGCTAATAAGCAATAGCTCCGCTAATTTATTAGTTGAAATTTTCTAATTTACCGTTATTTTATTAGCTGAAACATGCGATTTGAAAATACGAGCATTTTTTACTGTAATTAGTAAGCAATTAGTGAACATGGTTGTCAATTAACTAAATGTTCAATTAACTTTGAATCATCTTGATTGAATGCAATAGCTGCATTATTGATTTTTTAGAGTTTGTTTTATATAGAATAAAGCCTACTGAGAATGCTTTTGAGTGGCCTTTATTTTAGTTAATAAGAATATTAGTCACACGCATACTTTTTGAAAAAATCAGCTAATTTACCAAATTAAATTACATCGGTGTTTGATATGCATACCTTATTTTTGAACATTTCAAACAGTTCGGGAGCAAAAACCAATATTTTTAATTATATTTCTCATATATATTTCATATACATATAAGCTTCTAGTAAAATATTTTAAGCATATATGCAGTTATTTGTGGTTACATCGTGCTATAGTATATTTACTAACATTACAGATTAATAAAGAAAGAACAAGACAAAAAAGCAGGCATGAAATCAACGCCTACCAAATTCCAGCACGGTGGAGAAAGCAAATAGACTGAGCACAAACACAGATTTCGACTAGAAACAATGCAAATTAACATGTAGTTGTGTAAAGTATATCTGAATGATTGTATTTATATAAGTAAAAAATAACTCAAAAGTTTACTGCTTTCATTTCAAATGGAAATAAAACAAGAAGTTGTGAAATAAGAACACGTTAAACGGACTTCTCAATGGAGAGGAACAAGGTTTACATTTCGCTCAAGTTCTCGATAATTGGAAGGTCTTCAGTTAAAAAAACGTTAAAATAATATAAATGTGTCACTGTTTATAACGACACATTAAGTACAAACACAATGAAGAGATAACRTTTCAAATAACAGTTTAAGTATTTTGGGTTGGGTTGGTAGGAGTTTTGAGCAGACAGAGAGGTACTTTCATGAGTCCGTTGGCAAGTTAGGCGACAATAATTTATACACAGAGCAGTAATTCTACCTTTGGCCCATCGCCACGATTTGAGTCTTCGCTACTCGTGAATGTACTRCACGTATCGATGCCAGAATCCTTAGTTGCCGAATCTTGACTACCCTGCCGTTCAGCGTCCCAACGTGCCCAATCGGCAACCGCATCCGAAATGCTWATCGTATTGGCAGTGTTTGCGTTTGCGCCCAATTTAGCGCTGGTCAGTATAGTGGCGGCACCTACGTCCACAGCCGTTGATGGTAAGATTTGCGTTACTGGCGGCAATGAACCGGATTTTGTTGTGGTGGTGTTTAACAGTGGTGGCTCATCATGCCCATCAAAGCGTACCGTTTTCTTTATTCTACGCTCCGTATATCGTCGCGAGTCCTGTGCCGCATTTGTCGACATAACTGTCTCATCCCAATAGGGGTCCGCCATTAGCGTACGATCGCGCCCGAGGCTACGTGTTGCCGCAGCACCAATGCGACGGGCACTACCCTCTTCACCGCGTGAACCACCGCCGCCAACTGTGATGCCAAACCGATCGTAGGCGCTTGTAGGCAGTGGCTTATCATCGATGACAATTTGTGGATTAGAATGGTGATGTTGCTGCTGTTGTTGAGACTGTTTCTGGTGGTGGTAGCTACCGGCACTGCTGCTGCTACTGCTACCACCGCCACCTGTAGTTGCCGTAGCCGTGGCTAAAGTTGGCGCACGACGCGCTGTATATGCTCCACTGTTGGCGTTCACCGGCTGTCGATCGTGATTTGTGCGATTATAGACGTTCTGCTGCTGCACATCCAGTCGTGCGGTGCGCGTCAGTGGATAGCGTTCGAGTCGTTCACGATGCAAATCGTAGCGATCGCGATCGGCTGACGAGTACAGACGATTTGTGGTRGTCAAGCGATAGTCGTTAGCGCCATAAGAGTTCGTCACACTTAACAGATCGCGCTCGTTGAGACTGCGCTGTTGCCTCCAAGGTTCGCGTAAATTGCCTGTAGAGTGAAATTTTAAGTGGTTTATGCTAAATGGTTGTTCTTGCTGTTATAAAGTAAATAGCCGTGGGAAAAGTGTTAAATGGTAGAGTTGAAACGGTAGTTTCTCATCGGTTTGTTATCACCTTCGCCCGATTGATTCGGCTAATATCGATGTTATTTTCGTAGTACTATGAAAAAGCAAGAACACAAAATCAAAACTGTTTGCCAGAATTTGTTAAAGTATATTTACTTTATAGCGAAAACCAAACCTAATCTCAATAGACGTATGTTTATATAATTTAAAGAGGTGGAAAAATAACTATTTGCCGCAAGAAATCAAAACTGTTTTTAAACACTTCGTATTCGAACAAATGCGCGGCTATTATAAAAGCAATGCATGAGATTGTCGGCTCCGAGAAAGAGAGAATCATTTACATCGTTTGTTGTTGCCTTTAGTACGATGAAGTTAACTTAAGAGCGTAGTCTGTTATTTTTTTTGGCTCAGTTTTGTATTCCAAATCAGATTGAAATTGCTTAGAAAATTAAAATCTATTAGAGTTTAGTACTAAGAGACAATTTTTTTTGTTTAATTGTGGACTGTTGTGCTTTTATATCAATCGTATATTTTATTATTGAACTTAAGATATTTCATAGTGGCGATCGATTTTGATACATACACTAAGAAGCAAAGAAAATGGGTCTGGTA